ATTTTATACAATGTTATTTGTAAAAGCAGACTATTTGTACATGAATGATGTTGAAGAGCATGTGTGTGTGTGTGTGTGTGTGTGTGTGTGTGTTGACTCACCCCGGGCCTCATTTGTTCTGGTCTCTGATTCTCAAGCATCGTCTCTTCAATGGCGGCTCTGGATCGTCCCGTCCGCTCGGCTCGGATCCCAGATCGGTGTTTTTCTCACAGCTTTGTGTTTGCGTGTGTAAATGCATTTGCGCGGCCATCAGTGTGTTCTTCTCGCGTAGTTTCGGTGGTATGGACCGTGCGTAGGTGTGCTCTACATCCTGCGGCGCTTCCTCCTCCCCCCTGCTCTCTTTCGATTGGTCGCTCCGGCAGTCCGTCTGCTCTGCCGACCAACGATTGGTCGAGCCATCGTCCCGCCCACTCAAGCAGCTGTTCTCCTTCACATCTTCGCAATCGGAGAGAGGAGACGGAATCAGGGCGGAGCCAGCGTTGTCCAATGAAAACGAGGTGGCTTGTATGGCGGTCGAACGAGCCAATGAGTACAAAGAGGCGGGACTGACGATTCTGGGAGCGACAGATGCGTAAAAAAGTGGTCTGTGCGTTGGAGTTTCCTCTTTGTGTTTTCGGAGACACTGAATCACCGAAGAGAGAGGAGAAGCGCATCGTTCGCTCTTTACTTTCTTGGTGGTCTCCTCCGAGTGACCCTGATCTGGCGTACGCTCGTCTTCCTGCTCCTGAAGGCTTCGAATGACTCCTCTGTGGCCCGTTTGAGGGGGAATAGGGATGGGAATGGGAATCGGCACCGGGATTGGAACAAAAACTGGATAGGGCGATAATATCATTGGCTGTGGCCAGGGTGGGGCTAAATGGGGCGGGTACACAGGGGGGAGGGGCATGTAGGGGGCGGGGCAAGGCTGGAGGAGAGGAGGCGGGGCAAAGGAAGCCCTCTGGAGGGGGCGGAGCAGGTGAGGGGCGGGGCTTCGCATAACAAAGGGGAGGGGCATCTGTGGTGGGCGTGGCTTCTCCGGAGAAGAGGGCGAGGCGCTGGTCTGAATCCTCGCTGAGATGGGCGTTTGGGGCGAGAGGGTTTTCGCCGGTCTGTCCCAGGCCTCCGGCGTCAACAGTTTCTGGTTTTCCGTGACAGCCGTTTTGGGGCGGGGCTCCTCGTCTTTGTGGGCGGAGCCGGCGAGGGCGGCGCGAGCTTCCTGGTAAAACACGTCCATCTTGTACTGGTTTAGGCACTTGCTGCTGCAGAACTCTCGCTCCTCGCCCGAACCGAAGTCCAGGTATTCTTTAGTGTGACGCGCGTGTTTACACCAATCACACACCTGCAGAGAGAGAAACAACACACTAGAGATTTATTCAATACATATCGATTCTGAATTCAAATTAAATATTTGCTTTTGTTCCTCTTTTGTAAGTCACTTTGGATAAACGCGTCTGCTAAATGCATATTTCTACATAAATTATATATTTTTGTATTAATAACTTTTTTTTTATAAAGATGAATAATTTTGCACAATTAATTAATATATGTATAATTATTGTATTTTTTTTATATAAAATAATTATTTTTAATCATTTGCACAAAATATTTTTATATGTATAATTATGTAAGATTAACACAATACATAAATATGTACACTTCAAACAAAACAATTAGCATAATTAGCATAATATTTTTAATTACACAATATTTTTTGTATGAAATATTTTTGTACAAAAATATGTTATAAATATACACAATTATGCACACTTAACACATATTATAAATAATAGATATATTACGGTCTATTAATGTCTACTTTTAATAGTATATTGTTTTACATGGACTTGTCACATAATATAATATTATATTACTATTATCATTATTATTATCATATAAAGTGATTGGGTCTGAGGAATCTCAGACAGCAGAGTTTGAGTTTACAATTTTACAAATGATCTCAGATCATGTTCAAATTTTAAGCAGGTAATATACTGTGCCAATTTTCCCCCTTGATATCAAATATTGATATTTTTTATGGTATTGTATTGAAGTTCAAAAATCCAGTATAATGAATAAATTATTTAATACTAATTAATAATAAAGTTAATAAATTGAATATGTTTATAAACGTAATCCTTCATATGTTTATTATGTAGTAACCATATTCTCAAGCAGTAAGCGCCACACATGCACACTTGTGTGTGTGTGTGTTTATTTACACGCGTGTTGTTGTTCATCTTCAGCAGAAGTCTTGAGGGCGTGTCCAGAGTCTGGCCAGGGGGCGGAGACTGGTCGCCATGACGATCCTCATCTCGAGCCTTGAGGAACACAAACACACACAAATACTAATCTGAAGTGCGTGTGCGTGTTTATGCAGAGGCTGATCTGTCAGCGATGGAGTCATGCTTAAATGCAATGCAATTTTTTTAGATAATGCAATTGTGCATTAATAAATGTAAAAAAAATGAAATAAAAAAATTCATCACTTCAACATTCATCACTTAAAATAAATATTGGAAAATAAAACCATCTGTTTAAATTAAATATTTAAATAAATGTTAAAACGATAAAACAATCAAGTGCACATATATCAGGGTTATTATAGTTAACTAAAACTAAAACTATATAAAAAAAAACTGAGTCAAAACATTTGTTTTGATTGCTTTTATTTTAAAAAATATTAAAAATATTTAAATAAATGTTGTTAAAACACTTTGTGCATATATATCAGGGTTATTAGAGTTAACTAAAACTAAAACCATAAAACCTTTAAATCAATTAAAATACATAAAAAAAAAATTATAATTTAAATAAAACATTCCATTTTATTTTTACTGTTTTACTTTAAAATATGTAAAAAATTTTAAGTACTTCTTATTAATCAAATACTTGTATATAAAAATGTTTTATATTTTATGTGATAAGACCATTAACTGACATCAGAGAAGCATTAATATGCAATTAATTATTGAAATACTAACATAAAATTAATTGACATGACTTTTTCCAATTCAAACTTTCTCTCAAATTGTGACACTAAAAATGTAACTTACATAAAAAAATTTTAATTATCTTTGACTTTTGGACCACACTGTACAACTTATTGATAGCTAAAAATAAAAATATATATTTTTTAATTTATTATTTTATTTTGATTATTTTATTTTATTTTTAATCTAATTTATTAACTAGATATTATTATTTTTACACAATTTTTACTCAAAATTCACAAAAGGCTGTCAGTAGATTTTACCGATATATCGGTACTTCTGACGGCTTTTTACCTTGTTGCGTTTGAAGAAGGCGCGTCGACACGCGGCGAAACACTTCTCGCTGCAGAAGCTCTTGAGCTCGGAGTACATGAGCAGAGAATAACGCTTCATGCCCTCCTTCTGACACCAGACGCACACGATCCGCTCGTCTGAACGAGAGATGCGTCACAATCAATATTACACTAATCACACATTTCCAGACTGTATTTGTCTGTGTTTTGTATGGTGGCCGAGAGAGCTCAACACCTGCAAATTAAGAAAACATCTTCATCAATTTGACAACACAACACAAAAACAGAAACGCGCTGCAAATAGGCACAGACCACCTCAGAAATGTTTGAGGGAACCACAAAGAGACGAACATGACTGGGACATATTTATCAATGTTTGCTCTGAAAGGTGAGATTTTTGTTTATTTTAACATCCTGATCATAGATTCCTTAGCTTTATACACACACACACATACATACATACATTTACAGTATATATATATATATATATATATATACATACACACACATACACACATACACTCACACACACACACACACACAGTTGTGTTTCCATGTTTTATGGGGACATTCCATAGGCGTAATGGTTTTTATACTGTACAAACTGTATGTGCTATTGCCCTACACCAACCCTACCCCTAAACCTACCCCTCACAGGAAACTTTGTGCATTTTTACTTTCTCAAAAAAACTAATTCTGTATGATTTATAAGCTTGTTTCCTCATGGGGACCTCAAAAATGTCCCCACAAGGTCAAAATTTACTAGTATTACTATCCTTGTGGGGACATTTGGTCCCCATAACGTGATAAATACCAGGTACACTCGCTCACACACACACACACACTCTCACACACACACACACACACACACACACACACACACACACACTCTCTCTCTCACACGCACACATATATATATGCTGGCTAACTTATTTTTTTACAACTTTCCTTACAAAAAATAACCATAGCCTATGGTTTTACTATTAATTAATACATTGATTATATAAAAAATTAATAAAAACAAAAAATGGTTACTATAGTTAAACCAACACAAATTAACCATGGATTTACTACAGTAATTATAGTTTAACCATGGTATTTATTAGGGATCTAACGATATCAAAATCTCACGATACAATATTTATTGCGATATTTAGAAAGAAAAAAAAAGACAAATGAAGAATTTGTCAAAAAAATGAAAATTTTGTACATGTTGAAGTTAAGCTGCAACCCATGTTCTTAACTAAGCAACTTAAGTCAGAAAAAAGTCTTGTAGCTGAACTTTAAAGAGAACTCAACTCTCTTTTTATTTGTGATCTACTGTCTCAGTCTAAATTACACTCACACTGCTGTTTTAGGAAGCCAAACAAAATAGAACAGAATAATAATAATAACAACAATGACAGTAATAGACATATATTGTAAAGCAACTGCACTGTAAAATAAATGAAAATGAATATTTTATAGGTATATTATTTTTGCTTTACAGTAGGGAAATTAATTCCAATACTTCTTTCCTAATTTCTACACTTGTAATAAAGCATAACTGGTGGCCGTTGTGTGCCGTCAAACTGATGAAGATGTTTTGTGAATTTGCTGGAGCTTTTAGTATTTGCATGTGTTTTCTGAAGCTGCAGCTGCACACCAGCAGAGGGTTTGCGCGGCGAGGAGGAGGAGGAGGAGGAGGAAGGCAGCTTCTTCTCCTGTGGCTGTGGCACAGAGTTCTCTGGAGGATAAATCACAGTCACACGGAGGAAGCGACGCGAGCAGCAGCTGTGAATGTGTGCGCTTACCTTTGAGAACAGATATATGGTTGTGTTTGACACGGTTTGGGCCGTCAGCGGCGTCTGAGTCCTGCAGATCCACTGAATCATAGCCGTACCAGCCCAACAACTCATTCACGGTGGTCTCCGCAAAGCTCTGCAACACAAACACACACCTGAGGTCAGAGCAGACACGCGCCGAAACACACAAACACATGAACATTTCAATATACACACATACAAACATCTTTGTCACTTAAAATCAGGGCTGCACGATTATGACAAAAATCATCATTCTCGATTATTCCCTTGAAATTGTAATTGCGATTATTAATTACGATTATCACAATTTACACTGAATGATGTTTATACCATTGTTTGATGCAACTGCGTGCCGTATTTTTATATGAACATAAACAAGCTGAAAACACTCGAACTGAAAAACCTTTAGTGCTTTTCTATAGTATTAAGCCTCAAACGTCAACTATACTTCGGATTGGTTTCTTCTTTATTATAATTATAAAAAAAGTAAAAATCAAAATGATATTATAGTGTTATACTAAAACTAAAATTAAAACAATGGAAAAACCCTTACGATAACATGTAGAAAGAAAAAACGCATCTTAAGGACGCAGAATAACACAAGTGGACGCAGAACGATTAATTGCCGCTTTGAACGATTACGTAATTGTGGCATCCGTAATTGTAATCGCGATTAGAAATTCGATTAATTGTGCAGCCCTACCTAAAATAAAATAAATTTTAACTAAAATAAAATATGAATTAAAAAAAAAATGATTTCAGCCAGTTGCCAAGGCAACATTTCTCATTTTTCTCAAGTTCATAAATGTATTTATTCACTAAAATAACTACAACTAAAATAAAATTAATAAAAGAAATAGCTATTTTAATAAATAAAAATTAATTTAAAAAAAACGACAAAAACAAAAAACACTAAAATTTAACAAATTGATACAATTTTAAAAATAAATATTAATATTAATTTAAAAAAATACGTTGTATTTTTTTTATATTTTATATTAAATGATTAATTTTTCAAATTTGTATAGTACATTTTTAATTTTTTTATTAAATGTTCATTTTTAAATTACATTTTATTAAATATTGTACATTAAATATATAAAATTTTTCATATTTTATGGAATATTTTAAAATATATTTTATTAAATATTTTTTAATACATTCTATTTTTCATGTTTATATATAAAATATTTTATTTAGTATATTTTATTT